TGACGGCCACGGCCACCGTGCTGGTGTCGCTGGTGGAGAGCGGCCAGGCGCCGAAGGCCTCCTCTCGGGCGTTGGCGGGCGCCCCGGGCCCGGAGGCTGCGCTGGTGGATCTCAACGTGTATCTGATCGTCGCCATCTGCGCGGTGTCCAGCCTGTTGGTGCTGACGCTGCTGCTGTACATGGCACTGAGGTGCTCGGCGCCGCTCACAGAGAGCGCGAATGGACAGGGGAAGGCCACTTTGGTGTGCTCCAGCGCGGTGGGGAGCTGGTCGTACTCGCAGCAGAAGAGGCAGAGAGTGTCGTCTGGGGAGGAGCCACCTAGGAGGGATCTCATGGCCTTCAGCCCCAGTCTCCCTCAGGGTCCCAGCTCTACAGAAAACGTGAGTCTTAAAATAATCTTGTTTCCAACAACTCTAAAAATAAATATTTTAGGTTTTTTACCTAAATATTTCTTAGCTAATTTCTTATTTTCTTTTCTGATGGATTTGTATATACTTAATTTAAATTTTTCCAGTTTGTGTTCTATTTGCGCTAATTAATTCTTTATAATTATATTGATGTTTAATATGTACTTTCAGTTTTGATGCATGTAGTCCTTTAGATCAGAATATATAATTTATTTTGGTTATTTTCTATTTTTGGATGAAGATTTTGCAAATCGGAATAATGGATTCACCCTCCTTTTATTCTACAGTGGATTTTCAAAGTTAAACATTTACATGTCCACACTTTGCTCTTCAATCTTTGTAAATGCTGTAGTATAAAATATGGCAGATATATTTTCACCTAATATTTATCCTATGTGTTGTCCTCATTTTATAAAAACATATAAGTGTTTTAATATCATCTATTTAATTTTGCCTTTTTGTGTTTGGTCTACAACTTGAATTATTTTAATTTATTACACCAATTTATCTTCTCCTCTTCAATCATATTTGTATAGCTCTGACTTCTGTTTTACTTACTTTATAGAATTGCATTTGCCATTTTCATGATGAATGAATAATTATTAAAAGCACAGTTTAAATGGCAGTTCAATGGCATTTTTGTCATGGTCATTGTACATTAAAAATTTGAAGGAATTGAATCTAGCATATAGTGAAAAGTTTCCTTGTTACCTCAAACCCTAAAGAGTTCACTTCATCTCTCTGAATTCCTGAAGAAGTTTCAGTTTCTTTTGTATTTCCCAAGACTATAGGTGTGTCCAATCTACTTTTCTTTCTTTTGGTGGGTGGCTGGTACAGGGACCTGGGATCTGAGCCCTTGACCCTGGTGTTCTAAGGTGGAGCTCTAACCAACTGAGCTAAGTACCAGACCCGACCTTTCTTTTTTAAAAAACAAGTGATTGCACATTAAACTCACCCTTCTGCACTTTGCATTTTTGCACTTTACATTACATATTGGTTTTTACGACATAATTTTTCATAAGAGCTTTCTCATTCTTTTTGGTCATTTGTTTTCTCATTTAAAAATATCTGCTTCTTGTTTTATTGTATGGGTACCTTAAGATTTATTCATCCAGTTTTCTATTATGGACATTAGTGGAACAATAACTTAATTATCCAAACCTGTATTTAGAAAAGTTTACATATACAGTAATTTGATTGGTTAAAAATAATTGCCATCGTTCACAGTTGGTAAAATCCTAACATACTTTAAGCTGTTATTTTAAGATACCTTGCTTTTTTTGTTTTCAATGTGAGTAAATGTAGAGGTATACAAAGTCAAGAACTTGTCCAACAATCATTAGAATTATTTGCCATCAAGCAGTAAATTTGAATTCACCATAAGCAGACTAAACTTATAGCTCCTGTTGCAAGAGTAATCAGTTTTGTAGGAAAAAAAATCTATAAATATTCTAGACAGCAAGAAATAGAAATTGAAATTCTGCTTTTATTTCTTTGCTTATTTTTATTTTATTCTTACATGCATATACTTAAAAAAAACACAACCTTCCTAGCATATTACTAAGAAAAATTTTAAATCCTACTTATTTTGGG